TGCGGGACAATAACCCATGTGCGGGGCAGCTATGCCCGGGCCCCTCGTCCTGGCTGACGTCACTCTGCTCTCGCGTGCGCCCCGCGCCGCCGCGCCGCTTGTGCCCCGCCAGGGTAACGGCTGACGCCGTTGACCGCATCAAGAAGTGCCCCGTCCTGCTGCCCCTCCTGAAGACGCTCAAGGAGGTGGGTCAAGCTTTGAAACAGGGTGGTGGAAGACCTGCACATGCAATACACACACACAACAACACAAAACCACAAATACACATAGACAGACACACACACACGCACACCAACACAAAACAACCAATACACACAGACAAACACACACACACACACACACACACACACACACACACACACACACACTACGCATCCACCCCACCACCACACACTATCATCCTCACCTCATCACCACGTTGTCCCCCTGACTTCCAGACCAACCTCGAGTTCTCCCTGGTGGACTCGCGCACCGCCATCACAGACCACCCCAAAGCCCTAGTCAGGTGCGGCCCGCCACTTTTTTGGGGGGGAGGGGGCGCGGAGTCCAGGGCCCGGGGCCGTGTCACCCACCCGCCGCTCCGTTTGGTGGCCACGCTCGCATGACCGCGCGTGCGCGCGCTGTGTTGCGGCGTGGCGCCCTCCACCCGCTCGCGTGTTGCAACAATGCTGCTCCCGTTTTCTCGGCCTCTCGGACCCACCCTCAACTCCCGCCTACACAATCCACATGCACATCCACCACCTCACTACACACACACACACACACAGTCACACATAACCCACATCCGCAAGCACCTCTCAACCCCTCCCTCCCTCTGCCCCCTCTCCCCGCCATCCCCGCACACCCACCCCCAACCCCAGGCTGATGGGTGAGCGCTGCGAGTCGGCGCGCGGCGAGGCGGAGCGGGAGCTCGACGCCATCGCGGGGCGCCTGGCGGGGCTGTTTGCGACGCTCAACGAGTTCCCCTCCATCAGGTGCGGCGCCCTTGGCGGCGGGCCGCAGCGCGCCGGTCAAAGCGCGGTCAAAGGCCGGGCAAAGGAGCACAAGGGTTTTGCACTTGCATTGAATTTTGTGGCTGAGCAGGGGCTGTTTCTGACGGTCGACGAGCCGCTTGTCGATTGGATGGGGGCGGTTACGTGTAGGCTCAGGCGGCAGGCGGCCATGCTGGAACTGCCTCTTCTGCCCGCCGTCCGGCCCTCCCTTTATCCATCTTGGTCAGTGCGAGTGAGGGCAAAACTCAATTGACAAACCACCAAGCCGCTCCTACCCCCCAAACACACACACACACACACACGTACACACACACACACACACACACACACACATGCAACTTCACTTTCCACACCTTTGCAAATTTCCTTGTAAACCTGCTGCCCCCGCTGACACACTGCCTTAATCCGGCCCCCCACCCCCTCCCCCTGGGCGCCCCGCGCAGGTACAAGGCCGGCCGCCCCGCGGAGGCTGGCGACCCGCCCGGCGCAAACGCGCGCGCCGCGCTGACGCAGGTGGGGCGGACGTCCTGCTCTGATTCGTGGGCGCGTGCTCCTCTGACTCAGGGGGCCGGCTGCGGGGGACGGGGCGGGCTCATGCGGGAAGTAGGGCCGCAGTCGCCCACACAGCCGTGAGCACCTCATGCATACGGACGTCCCGGCCACCACATGCGCGCGCGCACGCGCGCGCACACACACACACACAGACACACTCACACACAATTCTACACACACTCACACCACACGCTCACAAACACACACACACAAACACACACACACACACACACACAAACACACACAAACACACACAGCGCCTGTCCCACAAGCTGTACGAGAGGGCCGTGGCGCTGCAGCGGGCGGGGGCGCTGCCGCCCAGGGAGACGTGTGACCTGATTGTGGTGGACCGCTCCATAGACCCGGTGGGCGGCGTGTGCGTGTGTAATGGTATGTGTGTGGTCAGTGCTTGCATGTGTGTGAGTCTGAGCATGTGTGTTTATGAGTGTGTGAGTGTGTGTGTGTGGGTCAGGAGCGTGATACGATGCCGCCATGCATTCGTACCCGCCCCACGGGCCCGACAACCTTGAGCGTTATCACCCCCCCCCTCCATGCCCACGTCCAAAGGTGGCCCCAGTGATGCACGAGTGGACGTATGAGGCCATGGTGTACGACCTGCTGCCAGTGGAGGGCAACGTCATACGGTGTGTGGGGGGGTGTTCACATCTCCAAAAGGGCTTGGGGCGGCGCGGTGAGGCGGCCCGCCCCGCCGGTTGGGGGAGGGGGCTGACGTCTCAACAAGAGCCGAGGGCCGCTTGGCTGGGCGGCCTGCTCGGTCGCGGCGGCGCCGCCGAGCGCACAGGCTGGGGGGTGGGGCCCTGCGAGCGAGCCGTGTGATGTTCGGTGTGCCGCTCATATACGCCGGCGGCAGCGTGCGACGCGCTGTCGCCGGCGGCTGATGGCAATGATTGATGGCAAAGGGAGAGGGCGGCAGCGGGCACAGCGTTCGCTCCTCAGATCTGGGGGTGCAATGTAAGCCGGCGCTTTGGAGCACACCTTTTTGGCAACTTGTTGTGGCAACACACCTGAGCCCTTCGTAAGGGCACACGTGGCCCGTCACATCTTCGGTTGCCAATTCACCCTCTCTTTCCCTCCCACCTCCGTTTTCCACTCTCCCCCTTACTTTCCCCCCTGCAAACGGCGGCCAGGTATGTCGCTGAGTCAGCAGGGGGCAAGCAGGAAGTGAAGGACCACCTGCTGGACGAGAGCGACGAGACCTGGGGGGTGAGGGGGAGAGACGGGGGGACTTTGGGGTGTAGCTGTGAGCGCATGTGGGTGTGATCATGTGTGTGTGGGGGGAGGTATGTGTGTGAGGGACAAGGACAGGAAAGGCAGGGAGATAAGGTTCATCTGGTAAGGGCTTGCAAGTGACACAGAGGGGGAGCTCGTGATTGTGAGAGCGAGTGTGCGTGTGTTTGGGGGTATCTTCCTACCTCTTCAGCAATCAAGCACGCACACACACGCACGCACACACACACACACACATAAAAACACACACACACACACACACACACATGTAATGCACACGCTGCATACCCCAACACAACCCCCTCCAGGAGCTGCGTCACGCGCACATCGCTGACGTGTTCAGCACCCTGGCGGGGCGGTTCAAGGAGTTCCAGGCCAAGAACAAGGCCGCAAAGTACCAGATACAGGGCAAGGGTGAGGCGGGAGGGCGGCAGCGCACCTGGGCGGCGCCGCGTCGGGGCCTGCGTCGCTGCGTTGCTGTGCCCCCTTCTGCCCGAACCCTGCATCCCTTTGGCCAGCCGCTTCAGCTTCAGCCTCCCCAACCGTCCGTCGTTTTCCCGGCTCCAGGAATCTGATTGTGTGCAATTGCTGAAAACATTCTTATCAACTCACAAGTCTGCATGCTCTTCTCCCCGGTTGCCGTGACCCTTGCGCCACACGCCACCTGTCCTCCCGCACCCAACAGCAACCGTCGAAATCAAAGAGCCTGGCTCCATTGTGAAGCCCTCTGTCACGGGGATCAATGCATTAAAATCCACCCCTCATGCGCTCCCCCCACTCCCCTGCCAGTCCCTTTCACCCTCCCCACCC